GTCTGTTGATCCTATTCTCCACGGATGATAAGTTCGTTAAGCATCGATTTGGGCCAATTTATTTTCGGATGGCATTTTCGTAAATTTTTGTGCGACGAAAGGCCATTTTCTTTGGATATTGAAGGCTACAGATCACGGAATCGGCTTGAGGCTATTCTCCAACGATGACTGAGTCCAGTAAGCACCGATTTGGGTGGATGTTTTCCGGGTCAATTTTTTGCAGATTCCAAAGGGGTACTATCACAGATTTCGGGCGATTTATCCGAAATGCGATTTTCTTTCGATTCTGGAGGCTACAGATCACGAAATCGGGCAGAGGCTATTCTCCATCGATAATGAAGTCTGTTGATCCTATTCTCCACGAATGATATGTCCGTTAAGCATTGATTTGGACCAATTTATTTTCGGATGGCATTTTCATAATTTCTTGGGCGACGAAAGGCCATTTTCTTTGGATATTGAAGAATACAAATCACGGATTTGGCCTGAAGCTATTCTCCAACGATGACTGAGTCCATTAAGCACCGATTTGGGAGTATTTATTCTGGGTCAATTTTTGGCAGATTCCAAAGGGGTACCACCACAGATTTCGGGCGATTTATCCGAAATGCCATTTTCTTTCGATTCTGGAGGCTACAGATCACGAAATCAGGCAGAGGCTATTCTTCACCGATAATAAAGTCTGTTGATCCTATTCTCCACGGATGATAAGTCTGTTAATCATCGATTTGGGCCAATTTATTTTCGGATGGGATTTTCGTAATTTCTTGGGCGACAAAAGGCCATTTTCTTTAGATATTGAAAGCTACAGATCACGGAATCGGGATGAGGCTATTCTCCAACGATGACAGAGTCCATTAAGCATCGATATGGGCGGATTTATTCCGTAAGAATTTTTGGCAGATTCCAAAGGGCTACCATCACAGATTTCGGGTGATTTATTCGAAATGTCATTTTCTTTCGATTCTGGAGGCTACAGATCACGAAATCAGGCCAAGGATATTCTCCGCCGATAATGAAGTCTATTGATTCTATTTTTCACGGATGATAAGTCCGTTAAGCATTGATTTGGGCCAATATATTTTTGGATGACATTTTCTTAATTTCTTGGCCGACGAAAGGCCATTTTCTTTGCATATTGAAGGCTACAGATCACGGATTCGGCCTGAGGCTATTCTCCAACGATGACTGAGTCCATTAAGCACCAATTTGGGCGGATTTATTACGAGTCAATTTTTGGCAGATTCCAAAGGTGTACCATCACAGATTTCGGGCGGTTTATCCAAAATGCCATTTTTCTTTCGATACTGGAGGCTACAGATCACTAAATCAGGCAGAGGCTATTCTCCACCGATAATGAAGTCTGTTGATCCTATTCTCCATGAATGATATGTCCGTTAAGCATTGATTTGGACCAATTTATTTTCGGATGGCATTTTCGTAATTTCTTGGGCGACGAAAGGCCATTTTCTTTGGATATTGAAGGCTACAGATCACGAAATCGGCATGAGGCTATTCTCCAACGATGACTGAGTCCATTAAGCATCGATTTGGGCGGATTTATTCCGTGTCAATTTTTGGCAGATTCCAAAGAGGTACCATCACACATTTCGGGCGATTTATCCGAAATGCCATTTTCTTTCGATTCTGGAGGCTACAGATCACGAAATCAGGCCGAGGCTATTCTTCACCGATAATAAAGTCTGTTGATCCTATTTTCCACGGATGATAAGTCTGTGAAGCATCGATTTGGGCCAATTTATTTTTGGATGGGATTTTCGTAATTTCTTGGGCGACAAAAGGCCATTTTCTTTAGATATTGAAGGCTACAGATCACGAAATCGGCATGAGGCTATTCTCCAACGATGACTGAGTCCATTAACCATCGATTTGGGCGGATTTATTCCGTGTCAATTTTTGGCAGATTCCAAAGGGGTACCATCACAGATTTCGGGCGATTTATCCAAATTCCATTTTCTTTCAATTCTGGAGGCTACAGATCCCGAAATCAGGCAGAGGCTATTCTCCATCGATAATGAAGTCTGTTGATCCTATTCTCCACGAATGATATGTCCGTTAAGCATTGATTTGTGCCAATTTATTTTCGGATGGCATTTTCGTAATTTCTTGGGCGACGAAAGGCCATTTTCTTTGGATATTGAAGGCTACAGATCACGAAATCGGCCTAAGGCTATTCTCCAACGATGACAGAGTCCATTAAGCATCGATTTGGGCGGATTAATTCCGTGTGAATTTTTGGCAGATTCCAAAGGGGTACCATCACAGATTTCGGGTGATTTATTCGAAATGCCATTTTCTTTCGATTCTGGAGGCTACAGATCACGGAATCAGGCCAAGGATATTCTCCGCCGATAATGAAGTCTATTGATCCTATTCTCCACGGATGATAAATCCGTTAAGCATTGATTTGGGCCAATATATTTTTGGATGGCATTTTCTTAATTTCTTGGCTAACGAAAGGCCATTTTCTTTGGATATTGAAGGCTACTGATCACGGATTCGGCTTGAGGCTATTCTCCAACGATGACTGGGTCCATTAACCACCAATTTGGGCGGATTTATTCCGGATCAATTTTTGGCAGATTCCAAAGGTGTACCATCACAGATTTCGGACGGTTTATCCAAAATACCATTTTCTTTCGATTCTGGAGGCTATAGATCACTAAATCAGGCAGAGGCTATTCTCCACCGATAATGAAGTTTGTTGATCCTATTCTCCACGAATGAGAAGTCCGTTAAGCATCGATTTGGGCCAATTTATTTTTGATGGCATTTTTGTAATTTCTTAGGCGACTATAGGCCATTTTCTTTAGATATTGAAGGCTACAGATCACGGATTTGGCCTGAGGCTATTCTCCAACGATGACTGAGTCCATTAAGCATTGATTTGGGCGGATTTATTCGGGTCAATTTTTGGCAGATTCCAAGGGGGTAACATCTTAGATTTTGGGTGATTTATCCGAAATGCCATTTTCTTTCGATTCTGGAGGTTACAGATCACGAAATCAGGCCAAGGATATTTTCCTCCGATCATGAAGTCTATTGATCCTATTCTCCATGGATGATAAGTCCGTTAAGCATTGATTTGGGCCAATATTTTTCCAGATGGCATTTTCGTATTTTCTTGGGCGACGAAAGGCCATTTTCTTTGGATATTGAAGGCTACAGATCACGAAATCGGCATGAGGCTATTCTCCAACGATGACTGAGTCCATTAAGCATCGATTTGGGCGGATTTATTCCGTGTCAATTTTTGGCAGATTCCAAAGGGGTACTATCACAGATTTCGGACGATTTATCCGAAATGCCATTTTCTTTCGATTCTGGAGGCTACAGATCACGAAATCTGGCAGAGGCTATTCTCCATCGATAATGAAGTCTGTTGATCCTATTCTCCACGAATGATATGTCCGTTAAGCATTGATTTGGACCAATTTATTTTCGGATGGCATTTTCGTACTTTCTTTGGCGACGAAATGCCATTTTCTTTGGATATTGAAGACTACAAATCACGGATTTGGCCTGAAGCTATTCTCCAACGATGATTGAGTCCATTAAGCAACGATTTGGGCGTATTTATTCTGGGTCAATTTTTGGCAGATTCTAAAGGGGTACCATCACAGATTTCGGGCGATTTATCCGAAATGCCATTTTCTTTCGATTCCGGAGGCTACAGATCACGAAATTCAGGCCGAGGCTATTCTTCACCGATAATAAAGTCTGTTGATCCTATTATCCACGGATGATAAGTCTCTTCAGCATCGATTTGGGCCAATTTATTTTCGGAAGGCATTTTCGTAATTTCTTGGGCGACGAAAGGCCATTTTCTTTGGATATTGAAGGCTACAGATCACGAAATCGGCCTGAGGCTATTCTCCAACGATGCCAGAGTCCATTAAGCATCGATTTGGGCGGATTTATTCCGTGTGAATTTTTGGCAGATTCCAAAGGGGTACCATCACAGATTTCGGGTGATTTATTCGAAATGCCATTTACTCAATGTAGTAAAAAACGAGTTTCTACGTAGAAGCGTGTTGGTGATCTAGAAGTGTAAAATCGTAATTTTTTAAGTTTGAAAGCAGAGTTTTTAACTACATAAGTTACAAAAAACTGAGATTTTGTGTAGAAGCGTTTTAGTGATCTAAGAAACGTAAAATCGTAAGTTTTTAAGTTTTAAAGCGCGATTTTGACAACATTGCTTCCACTCATAACCGCAATCTTGGCAACATGTGAGTTGTTTAATCTTTGTTAGGTTTATTTGTACCATATACCGTGGCAAATGCCAGGTCTAGTAGGCAACGGTATGAAGACCATACAGACGTCTTCATAGAGTAAGTCGACGCAGTTTGAGCGATCGTGAGCAAGCGTCGTGTCCAGTCTAATCCAACCATGAAATGAGGTTTGAGGAAATGACCTCTGAAGTCGGTCCTCGTATTACGCACACAATCACATCAACAATAAACAGAACAAAAAAAAAAAAAAAAGATAAAAGGAAATGAAAGCATCATATATAATGCCAAAATCAAGAATTACATAGTCAATAACATCTAGGATTCGCCGACTTATGCAACTAAGGGAACTGGTCGGCCATGAGAACAAGTTTCTGGGGGTACATAAGTCGAAACGAGGTTTCCAAAATACCCTCCAAATTGGCGGAAAAAAAACAGAGAAAATGAGACTAGACCGTCATTTCTAGCGCCGATTTGCCCTTCGTAGTTGGTTTCGTTCTAAGTCGGGTGAGTCATTCTGTCGACCGAATTTTTCTTAGGATTTTTGGGGAGGGAGTCGATCTCCAATGCGACTTCCATGTCTCAGCTAGTCTCCTCCAATTTAACCACCATGCAAAGAACTTACTGAACTAGTCACAAAACGGTGATCAATGTGTCATTTCTCACTTGTGATTCCTAATGGTCGAGTATCGATGTCTCTCAACACATACAAAATAATCAACTAGAATGCTATGCCCTGAAAAAACAAATTCAGTTCTTGTGGTACTCCAGGTATGAAACCTGCCTCTGAAGCTTCATTTGTTCATAGAACTGAGCAATGAACTTGTCGGCTCGAGAGTCTATCCCTTCCGCTTCTTCTTCCTCCACCACCGAGCATTCCTCGTCGGAATACTGCTCCTCGTAGTCGTCTTCTTCATCGTCAACAACAACAATGTCGCCGTCGTTGCCATCTATGCAACTGCTAATCCTCCTTCCGCTAGTGCAAGGCCGGCCCTCACCGTAGAAAACATTGTTCTCATCATCATCGACATCATTGTAGTCGAAATCGGCCTGGTGGGGAGTAATGCAAGGAATGATGAAGCGCATGGATGCAGGGCGGTGCATTTTCACTTGGAACAGAGGAGTCTTGTCGAAGGAGAGCTCCCTTTCTCCGTAGAAGCCAATTCGGGCGCCAGAGGAAGAAGAAGAAGAAGCGGGCGCCATGCTCTTGATGAACTTGGGGACCAGGCGGAGATCCATCACCAGCCGTCTCTTGAAGACGCCGCCTTTTCGCGCCCAGAGCAACGCCAGGCGGAGGATGTTCCACGCCCTGCGGCTCACATTGCTCTGTTTCTTCGCCATTTTTTGGGGTCACCACAGTTGTTCTGCAAAGTGCTTCTGAAAAAGATTCGTGGGTTGAGTGATAAGCTGTCTGATGAAATGGGTTTCTGCTTGTGCATCTATATAGAAGTGGTGGGTGATCATTATTAGTACGCGGTGCGGGTTCGAGGAAAGTTGGCTGGGGAATTGGGGGAAATAGAGAAAGAAAAACAAAGGGAAAAGTTGGGTGGATTTTCGGCTGTGGAAAGCGAGGAAGAGAGAGAGAGAGAGTAGACGTTGGTTTGTTTTTTCTTCTTCTCTGCTGTGTTGGTTGTTCGGGGAAACGGCTTAAAAAAACAGTAAGCGCGGGTTGGGCGGTGGGGGAAGCCTCGCTGGAAAATACGACACTGGCTGTACGCGGGCTGTCCTCGCTAACTTCCTTCCTTTGCCCCCATCTCATTATTATTTATTAACTGGACTCCTGGAATGATTGAGGAATTATTTGTTTTTCCAAATTTTTTTTATTGGCTGTTGTTTATGCTTGCTTTTGTAGGTTTGTTGGTTGATGTGGCATACTGGTAAGGGATGGAGCTAGAATTTGAAGTTCGGGAGGCGTCTAAATTTGTTTTGATGAAAATATCGTAATAAATGAATCATCTGAAAATAAAATCAACTGAAGAAAATCTTGTTCGTAAATTTACAATCCGATGAACACGAGATTTTAGTAAAAAGAAAAAGTTAGTCTCATCTTTATGAGTAGGACGCGAAGTTTGTTTCGTGCTTACTGGCCGATAATGGCCTACGGCATTGTGTTCTGCCGGTGATGGCCCTCTCCGTTGTGGAGCATATCAATATGGTTGAGTTTATGGGGAGGATGATCAAACGGCAGCCCCAAGATCCTTTTGGATTGCCTATTAGTTTTCTTGTTTTGCAGGGCACTTCTTGCTGCTGATGGTGCTTTATGGCTTTCTCAAAGGGAGGGTGGCGGTTTCAGTAGCTTCTCATAGGGCTGCTCATCTGGTGGCAAACCAGACCCTTTCATCGGCTGCTGATGGTGCGGTCAAGCGTGGTCAAGGAGGTAGTATCGACTTTGTAGGCTCTCTTGAGATATGTAATGTTCTGTTTTCCTTTGGAAAATATTATGTTGGGATCCAAGATCCATTTATAATGGAATGTTGAGCTTTATGTGATGCCTTACAGTGGTGTCTAACTCATTCCTTTCTTGTGTTAACACTAGTTCCAACCAATAAGAACATTTCATTTTGATAAATTTTTTATTTCAGGGGGTTGACTATTATTAGTGTGAATTTATAAAAAGAGGGGCACGTTTGTAATTATTAAAATTGGGAAGGGGGACACCGCATACTTGTTGTGCATTAATTGAGGGACCGCTAAAAACATACGAGAAACACAACAAACTACACCACAGATACCGAAAAACTTATAAAACATACTTGAAACTCACCACACTACAAAATTCATCAATCGCACCACGAATACCGGAAAGCATACAAAAAATAATGATAATTTTTAAATTTTAAACATTTGACCTTGTAGTGATATGAAAATATGGTATTCATTACACCAGAAACTCAATTTTCTGAACTTTAACACATTAAATGCATTTATATATCAAATAAACTCCAACTAAATCCCCCAATTTGACATATTAAAACTGAAATCAATTTGTCTTCATTGCTCGTCTCTTCTCCTCTCCTACACACATGAATTAAAAATGCAGCTGTTGATGTGACTTGAATCGGACTATCAGCCGATACGACTGGTAATCGGGGGTCTCGCTGCCCGGTCAGCGAGTGGGGTCTAGGGGCAACACCCCCGGCCCACGGTGTATGGGCTCAATGTTATTTGGGTTCGGGTTCTCGCCTGGTCTGTAACCGTTTCCTTTGCCAGATTGGATTAGGTTTAGACCCACATGGAGAAGTACTATAAATACTTCTCATACTCCTCTGTAATCTGTAATCTCCTCGATATAGTGAAACTGGATCTCTCTCGCCCGTGGACTAGCTAACACACATCGTGTTAGTGAACCACGTAAATCGTGTGTCTATGTTTTTCGATTCTCGCTTTCGTTTTCTTGCTTTGTCGATTCCGGCGATTTCCCGATCCGTAGCAGCGCGTTTATAACAGCAGCAATGTTCTTGACTTCGGGCGTCTTTCTCTTTAATCCCATGAGAACCTCCTTCAGTCTAGTGGTCAAGGCCTTCAAAATTACTACCAATACAACAAACGATCTCTGACATTGCACTAAACATTTCACGTTGAGGCTCTCAAGTTTACAAAGACACTCAAAATTGTTCGATCAACTCCCCACTTGACAAAACCTAACTCTTTCTCGCACTTTATAAGTTGTCCAGCTAGCAGAACCCACGTTTGTTAGTCGTTTGTTGATTAGCTGGTTAATTAAAAAATCAAACTTAAAAATCGGTTAATCGACTAACTGGTGGTTGTCGATGACTAATCGATAAAAAACCCAGTCGACTGGTAACTAACCAACAAGCTAAAAATCAGTCACCCAGGAGCCAAGCGACGTCACACTCACTCCTTCCGTCCCCATTGAGAGACGATCAAAGTATCAACTTCTATTGGCAAAATACAGCTGTATATCCACAACTATCAGGTTTGTGACAAATATATCCACAACTATCGAAATACACGAAATATCCAAAAATCGGAAGGTTGTGTGACAAATCTATCCACTTCCGTCTGAAACTATAACGGCGTGTCAGACGGCGTTAAATTGACTAACGGAATGCTGAATCGATGCCATCTCACCTGCCACATAAGCCAAAAAGCAACCAAACTTTACACGTAGATGCCAAATAGGCTAGTTGAATAAAGGCAAAATACAGCTGTATATCCACAACTATGAGGTTTGTGACAAATATATCCACCACTATCAGGTTTGTGACAAATATATCCACCACTATAAGGTTTGTGACAAATATATCCACAACTATCGAAATACACGAAATATCCATTTCCGTCCACTTCGTTAACTCCGTCAGTTAACTTGATGACTGGACAAACGGTGGATGCTTAGTTAGCGTGTTTCTGGCCCCACTGAATGACGTGGACTAAAAGAGGAAATTTTTTTAAAAAAACCCTAAAAACCACAGACGGCGAGACTAAAAATCCAACCCAGAAACATGTCCGATAACCACTTATCCTCCTCCGATCGACGCCTCCACCCCCAAATAACCCTACCCCAAGCCCAGATTTTGATTCCAACCACAATCCCCAACCATTGCCTCCCTTTTACTCCGACAGCTTCCATGCAGTCGGCGCCATTGTGATACCAAGCTTGAATCTCAAACAAAAAAAAAAAAGCTTGAATCTAACCAAATCGCCAACAGAGAAGACTGCAGCCGCGTGGTCTAACAGATAACGGTGTAAAGTTTGGTTGCTTTTTGGCTTATGTGGCAGGTGAGATGGCATCGATTCAGCATTCCGTTAGTCAATTTAACGCCGTCTGACACGTCGTTATAGTTTCAGACGAAAATGGATAGATTTGTCACACAACCTTCCGATTTTTGGATATTTCGTGTATATTGATAGTTGTGGATATATTTGTCACAAACCTGATAGTTGTGGATATACAACTGTATTTTGTCTAATTTTTTTTTTCTCTTTTAATCCACGTCATTTAGTGGGGTCAGAAACACGCCAACTAAGCATTTCAATCGTCTGTCCAGTCATCAAGTTAACTGACGGAGTTAGCGGAGTGGACGGAAATGGATATTTCGTGTATTTCTATAGTTGTGGATATATTGTCACAAACCTGATAGTTGTGGATATACAGCTGTATTTTGCCACTTCTATTCATCGATCTCTAATTTATGATTCTTACCAGCCACCAACACAAACAAACCTTAATTATTCTCTTCGCTATTCAAATTCTTAATTGACTCAATCATCGTTGAAGAATAGCCTCAGGCCGAATACGAAATCTGTACCCTTCAAAATCCAAAAAGGACTTTCATTACCCAAAAATTATTAAAATGGCATCCAAAAATAAATTGGCCCAAATTGGTGCTTAACAGACTTATCGTCCGTGGAGGATTGGATCAATAGATTTCATTATCGGTGGAAAATAACCTCAGCCTGAATCCGTGATCTGTAGCCTCCAGATCGAAACAAAATGACATTTTGGAAAAATCGCCCGAAATAAGTGATGGTACCCCTTTGGATTCTGCAAAAAATTGACCCGGAATATATCTTCCCAAAATGGTGCTTAATGGTAGGGCTGGGCATGTGGGCGGATCATCCGCGGGTTTGGGCCGACCCACCCGCATTTGACCCGAATTTCGTTAAGTGGGTGGATCTGTGGGTGGGTGACGGGTTCCGCTGGGAGCCATCCGCCGGGTGGTGGGTGAGTTGTGGGTGGGTGCGCGGGTGACCCGCTCAACCCAACAGCAAAAAGATCAAAGTCGTTGGCACTAGAGAGGGGAGAGTGGAGACGTTAGACATAAACTAGGACTTCTCCTGGAGTTTGAACCTGAAAGTCAACCTTTCAAATAGCGATCCCCTCTTCTTCCCTTTATTTTCGCCTCTAATTCTTGTGCCTAGATCACCGCTCTTTCCTTTGTGGAATTATTTACCTTAGTTCCTTGCACCTGATAATCATCTTAATCTGTAGAAAACTCTTTCATAATAGAATTTATATCCAATTTAAGAACTAATTCGACATTTTTTGTCCTATTTCATCTTCTTGTTTCCCCCGATAACTCTCTTCACCTATTATCATGTCAAGTTAAGTCCTTTATATTATATACATTGTGATGTGGGTGAACCCACAAACCCACCCGCATCATCCACCATCCGCCCGACCCAACCCGAGACTAAATGTGGGTGGGTGGTGGGTTAAAAATTAGCAATCCGTTTAAGCGCGGGTGGGTGCATTTTATGGTCAAAATCCACCCGACCCACCCAATGCCCACCCCTACTTAATGGAATTAATCATCGTTTAAGAATAGGCTCAGGCGGAATCCGTAATCTGTAGCCTTCAAAATCAAAAGAAAATG